AACCTCTAATATTTATTACATAGTCACAATGGGTTGTGCCAAAGAATATGGAACATAATCCAGGATTCTACCATGGAAAAGAATCCCTACACAATGTGTCCCAGAGAGACGTGGAACTTTTTGGCGTGAGTTTTGAAGGCTTCCAGAAGATGCAGGAGTAAAAAGATAGAAACAGTGGGTGGCATCAAGCACTGGAAACCTATGTCTGCTTTTGTAATAAGTACAGTACTTACTTTCTTAGTGCTGATTCACACAGGCTTCTGCTTTACACCACAGAATTGCTCAACTACGTTTTAAAGAAAATACTGTAGTTTATTTCCTCCTTCTCCAATTCAACACACACTTTGCATATCAAAATGAACAAATCCATTCTCATCGTCTTCCTCATAAAAAGTAGGATGATCTAAATTTAAGTATAAATATTCATGTCTGAAAATAATAATTTCAGGAAAATGTGAATTGACATTGCAAATAAAGAGGAACTGGATGATGATAATAGTCTTTTACTCAGCATTGTCTCTGAACAATACACAATTTCAATATGTAGTTTAGGAAATGCCATGTATTTTTCACCATAGACAGAAATACTGCTCCTCAGAAGCCTGACTTAAGTGGACAGTTTTTCAGTTATTGTAGAATCTGATTTCTCTTTATAGTCCAAACAATCCTAGATGGTTCCCTGATCTCAAACCATATTTGGTCGTGGCCAACTAAGCAAAATAAGTCACTCTTCCTATATAAAACTGATATCAAGTAAACATATTAAACTCGGAAAGGAGTAATATTTTTGCAGAGTAAATATCTTCATATTAAAGAAAACATAGAAAACAGAATTGTCAATGTTCCACTCCTTAGAATCCTCTGGAGATTCCTGGTATCTTGTTAAATACTTCAAGGTAGGTGAGATTGTGCAGTCACGTATCCCAGAAGCAAAGGGGCATACCCAGGCCTGTAGCCTGGATTTTGTTTCGGGAGGGGATGGGTTTGATTCGGGGGAGGGGGCTGAGTCTGAGTGAAAGAGAGTCTACCCTAGCAAACCTTTTGTATCGTTACCCCGATACCCCCATGCATATGGGATATATTGAGCATGGTGATCAGATCATGATATGAATAAACATAACAGTTGAAATAATGTACCAGTAAAGCCTTCTCACGGACCACCCTCAGAATTTTTTTGGGGGGGGGACTGAAGCCCCTCAAGCCCCCCCCCCCCGGCTACATGCCTGGGCATACCCCTCTCTTAGGATTAGGTGTGATCATCCTTCTTGAAATCATCAAGCAAATTTGGATTATCAAGACTATTATGAAGTTGAATCCCATAATGAATTACTAATTGGAAGAATTCAATTCCAGTTCTTCTTAGGCTGTCTGATATGAGAGACTTGCAGTTATTATTTTCTGCAATGTGCCAGGGACAGACCAGCACTAAATTTTTGCCTATTGGGTACAATTGTTACTTCATTTCCTGGAAAGTTTCCAGGATCAGGAGGCAATAACCCAAGGAGCACCACTTTGAGTAGACAACATTGTCAAGAAAATGCAGACAACAGGCAACTGCACTAGGACTGTGGTGCAGCTGGCTGGGAGTCAACTGCATTAAAATCACGACTGACCGAAAGGTCATGAGTTCAAAACCAGCCCGGGTTGGAATGAGTGTCTGACCAATTTGTGTAGCTTGCTGTCGACTTTTGCAGCCTGAAAGACAGTAGCATCTACGTGGGGAGGCTAATTTAACTAATTTACAATGGCATAAAAATCTCCAGCAAGCCTGCAAAGAATGAGGAAATACTTCATCAGTGTCACAAATGGACTGTGAAGCAACAGCACCCCTGGTGGCCAGAATACACTCATGAAAAGTTGGAATGTTAAATTGCCTCTGTGTCTGTCTAAATATGTTGTGTGTCTATGCCATTGAATGTTTGCCATGTATATGTACATTGTAATCCGCCCTGAGTCTCCTGCGGGGTGGCAATAGAACCCTCTCATACAAGGCTGCCTTCAACCTTGACTCCCTATTTTTCCTCGTCTGAGGAGTGAAAGTGTTGCACACTGAGCAGGCCCGAGAGAGATGGGCCTCCCCTAAGCACGTCACGCAAAGGGAGTGACCATCATTATCCGGTAAAATATTAGGACAGTTACTATATTTTTTGAAAGATGTAGTAGCCATATTCAACACAGTAACACAGAGAATAGTCAGAAAAACAGTCCAAGTCAAAACCAATATGCAGTCCAAATTACTAAAGCTCGCAAGCGAAGGTTCTCTAGCTATTGCCAAGGCGGCGGATTAAGAGAACTGGCTGACTGGCCCCGCCCACGGGCCTTATATACTTGAGGAGGGGGCGGGGCCAGGACGGGAGTAAAAATCTCTCTCTTTATTTTCTAGAAGTTTCCGAAGCTAGCCTGCGCAGGCGCAGAAGTACCATTATGTGTGATTCACAGTTGACTGCGACAGGAAAGGGTGAAATATAAATACTGTAAATGAATAAAATAAATAATAAAATTGTAGCTTAAAGCTCCTGCATGTAGCCTATTTTATGCATACTTTGTTGGGAATAATTTCTACTGTACACATGGAGGGGACATTTAAGTACACCGTGGGCTTGTAAGAATCTTTATATTGAAAGATGGCTAGATGACCATGAGTTAGAGCAGGGGCCCTCAAACTAAGGCCCGGGGGCCGGATGTGGCTCTCCAAGGTCATTTACCCGGCCCTCGCTCAGGGTCAACCTAAGTCTGTAATGACTTGAAAGCACACAAGAACAACAACAACAACAACAACAACAACAACAACAATGCTATCTCGTCAGCCGAAAGCAGGCCTACACTTCCCATTGAAATACTAATAGGTTTATATTTATTAAAATTGTTCTTCATTTTAATTATTTCATGTTAAAGGGTTTTTTTGCACTACAAATAAGATATGTGCAGTGTGCATAGGAATTCAAAATATATATTTTTCAAATTATAATCATCCCCTGCAACAGTTTGAGAGACTGTGACATGGCCCTCTGTTTAAAAAGTTTGAGGACCCCTGTCATAGGGTATTGAACATTATCTAAAGCAATGGACCATTACAGGCCCGTAGCCAGGATTTCGATTCAGGGACGGGGCTGAGTTTGTTTCGGGGAGGGGGGGGGTGAGTCCGAGTGAAAGAGGGTCTACCCTAGCAAACCTTTTGTATCGTTACCCCAATACCCCATGCATATGGGATATACCCCCCCCCCCCCGCTACATGCCTGTTTGCAGTGTATATGTACATTGTAATCCGCCCTAAATCCCCTGCAGGGTGAGAAGGGCGGAATATAAATACTACCAATAAATAAAATAAATAATAAGATTGTAGCTTAAAGCTCCTGCATGTAGCCTATTTTATGCATACTTTGTTGGGAATAATTTCTACTGAACACATGGAGGGGACATTTAAGGACATAGTGGGCTTGTAAGAATCTTTCTATTGAAAGATGGCTAGATCACAATGAATTGGAGTATTTGCTCTCTTGTCGACTCTGTCCGAACTCACTAATGTAGCTGCTGTGATGGCCCAATTGGAGAATGCAGGTCATAACAGAAGGTCCTGCCTCCAGAGGCCCGTGGAGACATCTATTCTCTCTTTAAGAGCTGTTCTAATGGGCTAAAGATGGGTTGAGCTGCTGGAATAAGAAATGGATCAAGGAGACTTTGCAGCACTTGTTTCTTCTTTATTTGCTCAGGTTTATGCATTTCATTCCTTTGATAGCAGTCAGTTGTTACTGTTTTAGCTGCTTATTGTTAGTTTAATCCAATGTATTTTGTATTTGCATAAGTATGTAAAAAATGTGATCAAGTTGAGGTGCCTCACCTCAAAAATAGTTCCAAGCACAATGCAGTCCTTCCTTTATTCTTCTTAACCAGATCCTCTTCCTCACCCTTCCTACCTCACCTGACCCAAGTAAGAGGATTCTAGTTTAATCCAATAGAAGCAGGGGGGAAGAAGGTTAGGTGAGGGAACCAAACTAAGAAAGAAGAAGGCAAGAAACGCAGTGAGTACACACACTCACACTACCGTAACACTTTTGAAGAGAGCACAAAGAGCTCAGACCCCTCTGACCTTTGAAGGCTGTGCTATTTTCTCCCCATAGCACATTTGCAAGAGCATTTATTCAAGGGAGGACACTACAACACAGGCGTGATCAATGGCATTAGCTGCACAAACAGGGAAGCAACCTCCCCGTTTTATCATTTCTAAAATAATTGCTTAAGAGAAGATGCAAGGTCAAAATCATTTGCTTGGTGGATTCTGCTTGAAGTATATTAAAAACAATGAGTATGGCATTCAGATTTGTCAAAGAGCATCTATCTCCCTCTCCTCAATGCAGTGGGCAATGTCCTTTCAAAGCACACAATAAAAGAATATTACAAAGCTAAATGCCTGCTCATGAATTACTTATACAGTGACTGTGTGCTACAACTCCTAGCACCTCTTCAAAGTGTAATAGTTAAAATTATACAGCAGGCACTGGACAATTTAATGATGTGCAATGCAGATAAATGCATTTCTTACTGAAGGGAGAAAATCATTGCAAATTGCAAATTAATCCACAGCAAAGCAAACAGCATCAGGAGTGCCAGAGGAAGTTTGTTAACAAAATGTTCAGTATTTCTAACCCTGTGATGGTGATAAAATGGTAACATAATCAAACACCACAGCAAAACATAAGAAATCATGTGGGAAAAGGCCAAAACACATATTTCTGACCTTGCAGACTCCATGTAAAAGAGAAGGAACGCAATATATTTTTGTAAAGTAAGCATTAAAGCATTTAGCATGGAAAAGCAGTACAGCTCTATCTATATAAATAAAAATGTAATGTTTGTTTGTGCTATTCACAGAACTCAGAAACCACTGGGGCAACTGACACCAAATTTGGACACTATGTCCCTAACAACCCAATGTATGTTCTCCACTCAAAAAAAAAAACCCAACGAAAACCAAAAGCAGAAAGGACTTCTAAACTGCATGTCCACAAAGGAGAAACTGCATGTCTACAGAGACCCCCCTCCTCCTCGCGGGGAAACAGCCGGCCGTTAAAGCCAGGCGCACGTGCACGGCCACACACGCACACACACAAGCGAGTGGAGTGGAGGAGGTGGA